GGTACAGATTATTTCATTTATATAAAGTCTAAAAACATTTCAAAACTGAACCATATTTTTGGAGATAGTCACATGCAGTATAAATTTTAAAAATACACAAGAATGAACAGGGCATTTGGGATATGGTAAAGAAAGGGGCATGTATGTTGGAAGGATTTGGGAGGGCTTTATGAACTGCTTGTGTGTTACCTTTACAGGTGGGTTGTAGGACCCTGTTGGTTACTTTGTTCTTTATGGCTTTTTTGGTTTCAGAATTTCATTCATTTGGGGGACAGGGGTGGTGGTGGAAAATGAGCTCACTGGCACTGGGCTAGGGATGTGTTTAGGTGGTCCAGCTTGCCAGAGGCTCAGCTTGCCAGAGGTCCTGGATTCTATCCCCAGCACTGTAACAAATGAGCTCACATTGCATGGAGTCCAGTTTAGAGCACAGTACTAAGTAATCCAAGTAAAACCACATGGATAAAACTAAAGCAAGGAATTATTTCTTAATGAGTCATGAAATAATTTAGTAGATTATGACTACTATATATATATATATGTCAATATATATATATTTTTTATATAATATATAAATTATATAAATATATATATATTTTTTAATGATGTGGATTGCCAGTGGCAGTGGTGCATGCCTGTAATCCCAGCAAATAGGGAGACACAGGAGGATCTCAAATTCAAGCTAACCTCATCAATCTAGCGAGGCCCTAAGTAACTTAGACCCTGTCTCAAAATAAAAAGATTTAAAAAGGGCTGGGATAATCTGCCCAGAGTAAAGTGCCCCTGGATTAAATACCTAGTACCAAAAAAAAAAAAAAAAAAAAGTGGACTACATAGCACATGAGAGGGCATTTATGTAGGGTGGTGAGTGTTGCATGAACTGTTACTTCATTTGTGTCCACAGCGTTTCAGCAGATGTACTTGGTTGTGGTGTAACATGTATCCCTGTGCTCTGTGGTCAGAGAGGTTTGGAAAACTGCTATAAACACTACAGACATAGGACATAGCCTTTATATATAAGTTCAAACTTAGAGTTTCAACGGTGGATTTGTGATGATTACAGAAATATCAATGAGCATAATGCTGTCTTTCTCTTTCCTGGTTTCCTCTTTCTATATTTAAGCAACTAGAAACCATATGTGTCAAGGTGACACCTGGAGASGTGAAAGATCAGGAAAGGCCAATGCCACCACTGGCCACCATCCAGCCCCAAACAGCAAGACAGAGCCAGCCTCCAGGGAGGAGCTCCAGCCTTGTGGGGCTGCGCGTGGCCAGCCCTCAGCTGCTCAGGGGGCAGCCCCCGGGGAGGACCGGGCCACAGCTGTGCTTCCTTAGAAGCTCACCTCGGCCTCCTGTTCCTCGGGTGTTTGTACAGAGGCCCCTGCCTGCCCTCCAGCCAGTCCCTCCAAAGAGAGTCAAGGCCTCCCAAGCTCCAGGCGGCCAAGGCGACCGGTTGACTGCTCTGGCAGCCTCTCACCTGCCCACAAGAACGTCCATTTCTTCCAGTGCACATTTACTCATTTCCAGCTTGCACACGAAACATGCCAAGAAGCTAAAAAAATCTTTCAAGGTGCAAACTCGTTCTGGACGGATATCTCGACCTCCTAAGTACAAAGCTAGAGACTATAAATTCATCAAAACAGAGGACTTGGCCGAAGGGCACCCTTCGGATTCCGACGACTACTCAGAACTGAGCACAGAGGAAGAGGAAGGCCAGAGGGAGAAGCAGGCTCTCTTTGACTTAGAGAGCTGTGCTCTGAGGCCCAAGACCTTTCGGTGTCAGACTTGTGGCAAGTCATACATAGGAAAGGGGGGACTGGCCCGGCATTTTAAACTTAACCCAGGCCACGGCCAGGTGGATCCTGAGACGCCGCTGCCTGAGAAGGCCACTGGAAGCCTCTCCCTGGGATGCACCGAAGCAGGGACTGGAGGCCTGACCTCTCCAGAGCGGTGCGCACCAGCTGCTGCACATGAGGAAGGGGCAGAGTCAGAACAGGGTGGCCAGCAGGTAACGATGTTTGGTGACAGTGTTCTTATCCCTGTCCCTTCCTGCCCACCATTCTTAAATTAACCCTCACCTTGTGTGATGGGAGTTGGAGATGCAAGTTGTCATAGTGAGGGTCTGCTTTGCTGCCAAGCTGGCGAGTGCTCCCCACCCAGCAACCTCATTTGGTGGGCACATTCAGTGGAACCCAGCTGCCAGGTTTTTGTTTTGTTTTGCTTTTTCTGTAGTACTAGGGATTGCACCCAGGGGGCTTTACCACTGAGCCACATCCCGGCCCTATTCTATATTTTATTTAGAGAAAGGGTCTTGCTGAGTGCTTAACGCCTCCCTGTTGCTAAGGCTGGCTTTGAACTTGCTATCCTCCTGCCTGAGCCTCGTGAGCCGCTGGGATTACAGGCATGCACCACTGCCCAGCCCTAAAATATTTTGAGACAGGGATTTTGGGAAGTTGTCCAGGCTGGTTTGGAGCTTGGGATCCTCCTGCCTGGGTGGGCCTCCTGAGTGGCTGGGATCACAGGGGTGTGCCACTGCACCCCACCCTGTTAGTGGCTGCTGCAGTGCAATCCTAACATTTTTTCATGAAGTTCCATTTGTTTGTTTTTTCCTCTTCTTGCTTCTGCCTTTAGTGTCATATCCCAGAAATAACAGCCAGACCCAATGTCATAAAGTCTCTGCCCTAGGTTTTCCTCTGAGAAGCTCATGGTTTTGAGGTCTTTCATTGAGGCTTTCGGTGCATTTTGAGTTAGCTTTTGATAGTGTTAAGTAGGGTGCAGCTTCATTCGTTTGCTCTGGGTATCCAGGTTTCCCAGCTTCCCTTGAAACAGGCTTGATACTCTTTTGTTTGTTTATTTTTATGTGGTGCTGATGATTGAACCCAGGGTCTCACGMGTGCGAGGGGAGTGCTCTACCACTGAGCCACAATCCCAGCCCAGGCTTGATACTCTTGTCAGAAATTATTTGACGAGGCTGGGGCTGTGGCTCAGTGGTAGAGCACTTGCCTAGCACGTGTGAGGCACTGGGTTCAAACTTCAGCACCACACAAAAATAAATAAGTAAAATAGAGGTATTATATCCATCTATGATTTATAATTATATAATTATTTGACTGTCAAGTGCAGTGGCACATGACTGTAAGCCCAGAGTCTCTGGAGACTAAAGCAAGAGGGTTATAAGTTCAAGGCCAGCCTGGGCAACTTAGGCCCTGTCCCCTTCATTCCTAAAGGTCACATGGTACTTAAAGCCACAGGTAAACCTGGCATTCCTCCTAAAACTTCCATTGCAATGAAGATTTGAAAGGGAAGCTCTTTGAGAGTTAAGGGCAGCCAGGTGCAGTGGCCAGTGCTGTATTCTGGCTACTTAGAAGGCTGCAGCAGGAGGATTGTTTGAGCCCAGTAGTTCAAGGCCAGCCTGACAACCTAGTAAGACTGTCTCAAAAAGAAAGAAAGAAAGAAAGGGAGGGAGGGAAGGAGGAAGGAAGGAAGGACGGATGGAAGGAAGGAAGGAAGAACCAAGGGGGGGCTGGGAGGAGCTCAGTGGTAGAGTGCTTGCCTAGCACGTGTCAGGCACTGGGGTCGATCCTCAACACTGTATAAAAACAAACATAAAAACAAAGGTTCATCGACAACTAAAAAAAATGGTTTAAAAAAAAGAACTAAGTGGACTGTGTGCTCACTGCATGTCAAGCACTTCTCGCCTGTTGGCTTGTGGGCCCTATAGCTGTTGGTAGGTGTGTTGTGGCTCCCATCTTCATTTTCAGAGGCAGGAATTGGCAACGAGGAAGTCACTGGACAGCGTCAGATCCAGGATTCTCTCCCAAAAGCCCTGTCAACCCATGGAAACAGAAATTAGATTAGCAGCTGTGGGCTCTGGGGACAGGTGGGGTCAAGGCAGGAGTTCTTTCTAAGGTGAGGAAGTAAACTGAAATTGGTGAGGAGGGTCACTTATCTTGCAATATATGTAACCCACTGAATTTTATGCTTTCAGAGGATGGATTTCATGGTATTTGAAATATACACTATAAAAAAATGTAAAGCAATGCTTAAGGAACAAAACTCAGGCTGATTTTTTTTCTTTGATGCTGAGACTTGAACCCAGGGCTTTGAGCCTGAGGAGAGAGGCTGTACCACTGGGCACTCAGCCCCAGCTTCATTTTCAAGGTGACATCCCATCAGAGAAGTTTCTTACTTCATCCTAGTCCAGACTAACTGGCTGGCTGATGATCATCTGGTATCTGAAAGGAAAGTTTAAAATGCACTGATTACGGTTCAAGAGTTTAGATTAAAGAGGAAATAACTGGGCTAGAGGAGCTCAGTGGTTGAGCACTTGCCTAGCAAGCTCCTGGGTTCAATCTCTAGCACTGCCAAAAAAAGACAAAGAATTCAACAAGTTCCTTTTTGGGGGTGGGGGAGCGGGTTACTAGGGATTGAACCCAAGGGCATTCTACCACAGAGCTGTATCTCTATCCTTTTTAAATTTTGTTCTATTTAGTAATAGAACCAGGGAGCTTAACTGCTGAGCCACATCCTCAGCACTTATTACTTTTATTTTGAGACAGGATCCYGCTAAGTTGCTTAGGGCCTCACTAAGTTGCTGAGGCTGGCTTTGAACTCGTGATCCTCTTGCCTCAGCCTCCAGGGATTACAGGCGTGTGTCACTCAACCTGGCAAGGTTCTTGCTTTTGATTTTTTTTTTTTTTTTTTTTTTGCTTGAAGGCTTTCATGGTGATATATAGAAAGCATGCCTGTTTTATTTTGTTTCGGGGTGTGTGACATTATCCAGGATGGGCATTCTGTAGAAGAGGCATTGGTACCTGAGCCAGAAAATGGAAGTCATTCAGCTCTTTTGGGATCAGAGAGTCACCTTGGACCTAGAAGAAGTGGAGACTCGCAGACCCTGGCAGAGTCTAGTGCAGCTGTCCATCAGAGGATCCGAGCATCCCAGCCCCACGAAGGCCCTGCTGGGACCATGAGACGGAATGCCTCAGGGAGCAGAGCCCTGCTGGAGGAGGTAGACACTCTTACATCCTGTTCTGGACACTGTTTCTTTGTCGTGGTAGTGGGAAGTCACTGTTAGGTTTCTGAATTTAAAAGAAAAACACCATGACCAAGTCAGCAGTTCACCTGCAATGATACAGGATGAAGTATGTAATTAGTTCAATGTGGGGTTATCTGAAATAACGCAGAGGCTTACCTGTTTAAAAGACCATAGGAGGGCTGGGGTCACAGCTCAGCAGTAGAGCATTTGCCTTGCATGTGAGGCACTGGGTTCAATCCTCAGCACACATAAAAACAAATAAATAAAATAAAGGCATTGTGTCTACCTACAACTAAAATAAATAAATAAATAGATAGATAAATAAAATGACCATAGGACTTACCATGTAGTTCCAAGAGCTGCTTGCATTTGTAAGTTTGGAATAATTATAATCTGTATTTACTTGGAAGAAGTTTGGAAGACAACAGAAATGAGTTCCTCTTTTTCTGTAAAAAAGTTTAAATTATGCAAAGAATGTTTCAGGTTTAAGACCCTGTTGTCTCCATTCCAGTTCCATAAAAATATTAGATTTATTGAATTTAACTGGCTTGGCTTAGAAAAGTAGAACCCTGAATTCATCCACATTATCTTGATTATAATCAGGTGAAAGTTTTTTTTTTTTTTTTTGGTGGGGGGGGCGGGGCAGCTATCCTGGGAATTGCATGCTAGGCAAGAACTCTACCACTGAGCTATATCACCAGCCCTTTCCAGGAGAATATCTTAAAAAGAAGTAGAGAATATAGCAAGACAACATGAGACAAGTCAGCAAGATGACTGGCCCCAGATAGTGTCTAAAGGGGCCCAGGGCCTCCAAACTCTGAGATCCATGGGCAGAAGTGGTTTTCCAAGAGGAAGTGAGTTTCCTTAAGTTTCTTTTTTTTTTTTTTTAAAGAAACTTGGAGCTGACCCTTTAGGTTGGGGGATCAGGTGCTAGTCAGCTGCAAGTTTTTTGTTTTTTATTTTTTTTAGAGAGAGAGAATTCAATATTTATTTTTCAGTTTTCGGCAGACACAACATCTTTGTATGTGGTGCTGAGGATCGAACCTGGGCCACAGGCATGCCAGGCGAGCGCGCTACTGCTTGAGCCACATCCCCAGCCCCTGAAGTTTCTTAAGGCACAATGTAATGTTGCCCATTCTAGCAGCTAATTTAAACCTTGGGGATTAGCTTTCTTTGCATTTGGGTTTGTGTTATGAGAGTGTTGGATGATTAATTTTTGGAAGTATGGGTTAGGTAGGTGGCCTTCTTCTAGAATCCTGCATTGACCCTGAAAAGAACTACCACTTACTGAGCACTTCCTGCAGGGTAACTAGCCTGCCACTCCCTGGCACCCCCTTGCTGGCCTGGACAAACCTCCCTTCGTTTATTCTTTATGATCATTGCCTTGTCTCTATAGTGGAGGAACCCAAAACCCAGCCAGCCAAATGACCTGCACAGGGTCACTGCAGGCAGGAGATGGGTTCAGAATATACAAAACCCCATGTGTCACACAGAGAAGTGGAGGAATGCTTTGAATGGGACCATTCTCCATTCTTTTAGATGAGAACTTTCGCAGAAGTTGACATTATATGTTTCTTGGGTTTTTGTCGAGTATTAGGCCCAGTTCTGGGTAAGGAGGAGACAGTGTATACAAGATAGACGCAGCCCCTGCTCGGGGGAAAATGGGGCAGTCAAACCTGCCAATCAGTGGACAAAACCACCATGGACCTGGGCATTGAGTATAATTTGAGATACCCTATCTGCTGCTTCCTCTGTCTTCTATACCCGACCGCGCAGTCTCCCTGAACTCCCTGGTCTTCCTGTCTCCCAGAGTTCCTCTGCTTTTCCTCACTTCATTGCTACCCTGCTTGAGCTCTCTCATCTGCCTGGTTTCTCCAACCTTCTTCCCTCTGCAGACTCTCTGTTACTTCCTGTTCAGACTGCTCTCTAGAGCCTTGGCTCTCGTATTTGAAATCTTTGCGCCTGGAGTCCCATGAACCCCTTGGTGCTCCACTGAGGGGGGCCTGCACACTGGCTTCCTGCCTACCCTTGGTGGAGAGCCACTTTGCCTAGTGCTCAGTCAGGCTGGGAACCCCAGGCTTTCTTGTCTCTTTTTTTTTTTTTTTT